CTGTGAGTTTCGTGATCTAGTCGGTTCAGCAAACTCCCTGAGGCTGCCTTCATACTTTGAGGCAGCGCGACCAGGAGCAGACGCTAGATCGATATCTATACTTTCCTAGTCGCTGAAGCTGCCGAACGCTCGGAACGCTAGTGGTCGCTGATAGACGCGGCAGACGCTGGTGGACGCTGCCGTAAAGTATGAACGCAGCCCGAAGTTTTCAGTTCCGGCTCAGGCACTCCCTTTACTTGATGTCGCATATTTAGACGGTTTTTCTCTTACCACGAATACAAGAAGAGGACTTCCTTCTTTTGGTCAGCTGTACAATCGCTACTCTTTTGTTATCAATTCGTTCATCGCTGCTAAGGTAGCAATTTTTGGTTTAGTATAACGGGACTTCCAATTAATTTTACTGTTATAGAATTTTGGACGTGACCACGACCGTTTAGCGGATCTTGCTGCCTTTTGTGGTCATATTTCTGCGCAAATACCGGCGCTCGCGGATGAATGGGTTAGTGAAGCATTTATGTATTGCCCTTGATTCCATTTTATCGAATGCAACGTAGTAGTTTCCATTTGTTTCAGGTCGCAGCAATTAAGGCGTTATGTTGTTCAAGTGGAAGCCAGTATACGGGTTATGGTGAGCTGCTGGCTCACATTGATGTAAGGTTTTTTTTAAAATTCTAGATTATTACTTCGAGTAATTTCGTTATTTTATCCTAAGAACGTTGATCAAGGTTGAAGGTGAGTGGAGTAAGGAAACGTCGTTGGCGCGACTCTACCCTTTCTACCTTCTTCATTCCTTCAGAAGAGAGGAAAGGGACGGCGCTCTGATGGAGTTTCCTTTCTCCGCATATCGGGAGACTTCGAAAGGTGTCCACAGACCAAGCCAGCCTAATTGCGTAGTTCAGGCTATTTCATACACCTGCTTATCTGCCATCAACTTTTTTTCCAATGCTATCTTAGGCTGCGTCCATGCATTGCGGCAGCGTCGACTAGCGACCAATAGCGTCCATCAGCGTCACGAGCGTCCAGCAACGTCACGAAGGCTTAGGAAAGAACATTTATCGATCTATACGCCGGCATCCACTAGCGACCAGTAGCCGACTGCTTAGGGAGCATGGGGCGATAGGAGGTTATCAGCTGTCTCCTACCCTTCTATCGCCCCACATTCCATTCACGGACGTTGCTGGTCGCTGGTAGACCCTGGCAGACGTTGCCGAAAAGTATGAACGTAGCCTTATGGACTGTTTTGAGCTGCCTTGGCATATTCAGTTATCAGTTGTTAAGTTATCATTGAATAACGAAAACTGAAAACTTCTTCAAGAAAGGCCCCAAAAACTCATCGAATAAAGATTCACAATCGATCATTGTTATGATGTGAGTCAGTAAAATGCGATACGAAACCAAGTAAGCTCCATAACTAGTAGAAGGAGTAGTAAAATCTATCTTCTTTCTTTTTCAGATAAATGACTGCTCGACTCATTATCCGTTGGCAACCTTTGTGCTGCTACTGGCTGGTAAATATGCCTTCAGTGTACCGCGACTAATAGCCGAACTACTGAACAACGCATTCCCAGTGGTTATGAAGAGAGAACAGAGTTCATTCGTGTCAGGGACGCTATAATGGTAAGGAATGCCCAACCTTTTTTTTCCCTATTTCTTTTCTAGAAGTCTCTTTCTAGTTATGGGAAGAAGCGAGTACGATTGCGAACCTGGTGCATGCCTCACCCTCCTCATTCTAGCACAGATCAGTTGTGCTACTGATGAGCCATATCACTGTGAGTTTCGGCATTCTTGTGCTTTTTTTATTTTCTGTTCCACACTTGCTATTTTTAGTGTCGGAGCATTACGTGGGAACAAGTCCGAAAGTGAAGTTGCTTCCGAAATGTGCAGACGAGCACATGTTGTCGATGATTCACTGGTTTGTCATTCCTTTCAATTTTACCCGTTAACTTTTTCTTTCGACTTTCATACGTGCGCTTTCCTTCTGAATTACGTTCTGTCAGTTGTCTGACAAAAATTACTCCAAGGCTTATTCCGCGGTAATCGGTGATGGGTAACTGGTAATTACTGGTGCGCGGCTCCTTCAAAGACGGGAAAAAAAGAGGTGTGCTTCAGTGACGGTAGACCATGGTTGCAGGTCTTTGCCCAGACGCGCTTACAGTCTTTTCGCTGACGGGGCGTTTCAGCGCGGCTATGTTTGACGCGCCGCCACCTCGTTCTATACCAGGCGCTGGAGAAGGTAAGTGACGGCAACTTATGGAAAACGACGGATACGAACCATATAAATAAAATGAATGTGATACTCGCATGCCGAAAAAAGGAAGAAAAACGGGAAAGAAAAAAGAACGCCGCCTAGCCGTGCTGACACGACCCATCATCCGCGAGCGAAACTGTATGGATGCATTGAAGGCCACGGTTCGGCGCATTCATTTCAGACAGCGGATGGTGCAGTGAAAGAACTAGCTGAGATCAACATCGCAGTGGTAGTGATTTATAAGCGAAGCATTTTCCAGTAACCATAACGTACTATAGCCCTCACGCTTCCCTAAAAGTGTGCTCCCCATTGCTCCCTCAGTGACATGCAGTAAAACATTGTCCCTTTATTTATTTTCCTTCACATTTTTCTATTTATAATCAAAAAAATGAGAACCTAGTAATTAGTGCGGAGTTTCGAAGATCATGCGTCCTTGCTCTAGGTGTGAGATGGATAGTGTTCTATTCCCGATGTTGAGCAACATTTGTATCCTAATGGACACCTTACGTGGGCGGTTCAAGGATTTAGAGTAAGTATTTCTTGCTTGATCCCATCGATATATTGATCGAGATTTTGGTTACGTTTAGTTTCGAACCAAGTCGAATCATTGATTCTACCAATTATCGAAGAGAATACCTTATGATAATGCTGAAGGCAACGCAGTCAATTATTTGTGAAGAAGACTGGGTAACGCTGAAGATGTTCCGCATTGTGGAGACCAACCGAATGGAAGCGTTCAATCACGATCGGTTAAAGCAGAACTGTCTAGTAAATCGTTTTTGGAACTTTTGGACTTTCGTAATTTTTTCGGGTTTGCTTTACTCTTAACTCGCCGGTATGCAAGATAGCAGTTGCTTTGTTACTTTTTGGACTTGTTTTTTTTCCCCACTCGCCGGTCCTATCAGTCCTTCTTTCCTACATTTTTTTCCAAACTTTGCATTCAGGGTCAACAGTTGCTGCGATTAGGTATCCGTCGACGAAGTGAGCGTGAAGTTTTACGTGAACTATCTGTTTGCAATGGAAATTCGAAAAAGGCTTTGATTGATAAGTTGCTAGCTGTGATGAACATGTGGAACATGAGAGCCACTCTCTTCGATCTAATGCTCATGATCAAAGAGGTATGTTCACAGCATAGTGGGATGAGCAGTTTTATACCCTGAAATTCGCTGCAGAATCAGAGCAGCCTCTTTCTGGAATGAACAGATTTTGTTTTTCTTGAAGGCACAGTGTACGACGACAAGAAGGAAAAAAAGTAACGTTCAAACGTTGACGGGCGGGTGCTAAGGCCGCGCTCCATACTTTGCGGTAGCGTTCAATAGCGACCACCGGCGTACCAAGCGTCCGGCAGCGTCAGCGACTGGGAAAGAATTGATATCGATCTCCCAGCGTCCACCAGCGTCACAAGGGCTAGGGAAGTATAGGTAACCATCTAGCGTCTGCCAGCGTGCACCAGCATCTACCAGCGTCCAAGGAGAGGAGAGTATGGCGCGATAGGAGGGTAGAAGACAGCTGGTAGAGTATGGGGAGATAGGGGAGTACCGCTGTCTCAGCCTCCTGTGGCGCCATGCTCTCCTCTTCCGGTCGCTGGCTTGTGCACTTTGGGAGACGCTAGATCGATACCTATACATCCCTAGCCCTCGAGACGCTTACGGACGCTGATAGACGCTGGCGTACGCTGGTAGACGCTAGAGGACGCTGGCAGACCCTAGGTCGATATCTATACTTTTCTAGTTGCCGACGCTGCCGGACGCTCGGAACGCTGGTGGACGCTATTGGTCGCTGGTGGACGCTGCCGCAAAGTGTGAAAGCAGCCCAACGGGTGCCTGGTAACAAATCTGGAGAAAATCGTCGAAAACGCCCAAAATAAAATAATTTATTTTTGGAAGTTGTACGAGTTTGCTGATCGGATGATTTTTCGCATTGTTGGCTTAAGCGGCATTTCAGTAGCCCGCCGCCACCTGCAACAATTACTAGTGGTGCTACCAGTTTTCGCGCATTGGCCGCAGTCAGTTGAAAAAAGCGCAAAAGTTAGTCGCACCATTCGTCGTAACACAGGGTGTGCAGTGGGCGGAGACTCGGACTTAGGGCGGAGGACTCGCTACGTCACGACGTCTGACGTCACATTTATCGACTGTGTGCATGTGCTTCTAATGTCTGGAGAACGTCCCCGTCTTTGGTTATCGTACACTGTGCCCTTAAGTCACCGTGGCTACGTCAGTTTAGGCAGCGTTCAGACTTCGCGACGGCAGCGCTTCGGTCGCGCGTTCGACGCGATCGATGCAGTCGAAAGCATGCGCATCGATCGTCGAATCGCGCGACCGAAGCGCTGCCGTCGCGAAGTCTGAACGCTGCCTTAGTGAATCTGTTCGGTAGCGCTATTTTCCTTCTTAGGAATGCTCGAAAATATTTTGATTGGTCCCGATATCTGTTGCTTACCATATCTATTGACTATTTCTTTCAGATCTCACCGGAAGGAGCACAAAAACATGCCCAACAGAGCGCAATTGCGGCTGATGCTCTCATGGGTGAAATTGGAAAGTGTTGTCGTGATTTGTTTACGAATGCTCATAAGGAAGGGATCCAGCTACCATCAGCAATAGTAAGAGCTCGATTTATTTGATCCTTAAATTTCAATACTTGCACAACTCTTTTGCAGTTGGGTCGCGAGTTTCGCTTCAAGCATGTTACTAACTTCTGGTTAATTGCATTGCTAGTTCGCCTCTGTCCTCAGCCGAGTAATGTACCAAATCAGTTTCATCACATGACGGTAATTTCACCTTTTTCAAATGTTGTCTGGTGTATAGCAAAACATATAAAACTTTAGGTATCTGGTAAGTTCCTAAAGGAAGCCGCCTCCATGTTAGACACGGCAAACGACAGTTCCAAGGAAAGGATACAGCAAAGGTACCACTCAATGCGAAACCCTTAGCAGTACTCTTGGAATAGCTTTTTTTGTTTAACTCACTGATTCTGATCGTTGCAGTGCATGGCTTCTTTCTCAGCAGCCTTTTCTGAATTTGGTATTGGCATGCTTGAAAGGGGAAGATTTTCAACCAAATAAGGATATGCTTGTTTCTTCGCTGTATAAGCAGCTTCTGGATCTTACCAGCAAGACAAAAGAGGTAATATTTCAATTTGATTTGTAATCGTTAATTATCTTAATCGTTTCACCGTTGTAGAATCCTGCCTTGCCACTCATGGAGAAGTTCTCAGCTGAGCGTGAAGGATTGCTGCTTCGGTTATCACTTGTGGGTGGCATCTTCAAACAGGTATGTGAGAGCAGGTTTTGCGTTTTAAGTCCCTCTCAAGATTTTTTTCTTAATCGCCGATATAGTCACACTAACTGCTGAATGCTGAATAAAATTACTGGTTGAATTGAGCGTGATTCGGTTAAAGACAGTTTCCGCGATCAAGTTGTCCGCGAAAT